TTTCCCTAGCAAACTCGCACTCTCTAATTTATTGCTTTTGTTTCTTCATGTTTAGCTATAGGTATTCTTTTTTTTAAAATTTTATTTAAAAGGAAAAAGAGAAAAAACAAAACAAAACAAAGCAGTGTAAGGGTACAAGTAATAATTCTTAAAACAGGTTTATCAAAAATCCTAACAAGTGAATTTACGAACCACTGTATTTTTTTAAATAATTCTTTATATTGTAGGGAGACTAGACAGGATTTCAGAACTCATTCAGCTGAACACTTAGCTACCAGCAAATCTATACTCAAGCCATCCCAGATGAGGGTTTTTACTTTTAATATTCCTGAGTTTCTACAACCTTGTTTAGCAATTTGTCAGCATATGTAACAGTGGGAACTCCTTATATTTTCAGATTTCACCTTCAAAGAAGACTTCAGAGACAGTCTCAGAATCATATAAAATGGGGATTTTTTTCTTCATTGTTTCTCGATCTAGACTGTTTTACTATGGCATTTCAGTTAGAACATTACAATGTGTGGGGAGTGTTTACTCTAGAAGCAACAATGGTATTGGTAAGTATTGAAGAGATTATAAAACTGAAAGTCCCACACCAAAGGAAACTATCCTCCAAAGACAGGAGCTAAGGAGGTGACCCAATTAGTCTTTTACTTCTATAATTTCCCTGATTACATATCTCCTTTTACCTCATATGCTATATCTAGTAAGTTCTCCCAGACATAGACCTAATCAAGAAGGCAGAATAGTGGTGCAAGGCAATTTAAAGGGGAGCTGTGTTATGCAGAGATATGGGACCAACAATGAGACCTAAACAACAGGGAGCCCCTATGGCACAAAAAGTGGCTAGACCAGATAACACACTACTGTGGATTTCAAAGTAAATGAAAGCAGAAACAACTGAATGTTGTCAGCTTGTAGGTGGAAAACTTGATTAGAGAGAGGAACTTTTGTGAGGACTGGGGTGTGGCAAACTAAGCCACAACAATTTATATTACACTCTTTGCTTGAATTAGCAGATGGAGATTGGTACTTCTTTGGCTAGAAGTCTTGGTTACAGGGCACATATTGACTATCTCTTATCTGGAACAGTCGTTTCAGATTTTGGAATATCTGCACATATATTTAAGAGATATCTTGGAGGTACAACTCAATTCTAAATATGAAATTCTTTTATGTTTCATATATACCTTGTATACATAGGAAGGTAGTTTGATACAATGTTTTTAATGTCTCTATGTTTTTTACTGTGGCCTGTCACATGAGGTCAGAGGTGGAATTTTCTACGTGTGTTAAGTCAGTGATCAGAAGTTTTAGACTTTGGAGCATTTGGGATTTTTGGATTAGGGATGCTAAACATGTACATGAGCAGACATGAGAGTCCAGGAAGGGAAGGTAAATCTCCATAATTCCTTGGGGACACCAAAGTCATCAAACAATGATACATTAGCACAGTGAGACACAGAGAGCTGCACTCGAAAGACTTACACAAGAAGGTTTTCTTTCTTTTAAACATTTAAATTAAGTTTTCATATGTTGAGGTCCATCTCATCCCGAGACTTTCTTTGAACTTTAACAAGCAGTGAAACAGAGAAGCTAAAAGGGCAAACTTGAGTCTAATTGCCTGGATTCAATTTTGGCTTCTCAATAGCTACTTAAGAACTGTAAGCATTTCACCTATTAAGCCCTCAGTTTTTCTATCTGTAACATGGGCATGATAATATAATGTAGAAAGGAGATTTTTTTAAAAAAAGATAATGACTTACGAATTTAAAAAAGAGTATAAGAGTATAATGTCAGTGTCAATCAGTGGTACTTTTATATATGTGATTACTGTCAGTGAGGGCAACAACAACAACAGATAAAAAGACATAGAAAGTAAGAAAAGTCTGTGTTCCAAAGTCACAGAAGAAAAAGTGAAGAGAAATGTAGTGACTTGCATAAAGCAAGGCTTAACATGTTGAATCTATAGTAAGGGAAAGAAAATCTAGGTACAGTGGTAATAAATTAAAGAAAATATTGCGAGTACAGAGAAATTATCATCACTGTTTCTTTTTATTTGTGTTTATTGTGTAGTGGTAGAGTGATTATCAGTTTTATTGGAGTGTTTTATAAGCAGCTGAATTTATGTACTGAGAATGAAGAGATAAACAGGGATGTTAGTCAGCTGTGTAACGTCATGGGTTCTCATCAGCTTTTCCACTAAGTGTTAGACTAGGTTAATTAATGAGGCATGTTCAGTGCAGAGGAAGGGAAGGGGAACGGCCGTGTCTGTCAGATGGTTCATCTTACTGGGGACAGCAGATGAACCAACTCTTGTGGGTAGACGTTCTGAAGAAGAGTAAACGGCAGTGGGTAAAGAAGACCTTTATAGCATCTCCAGGAAGATTTACTGACAGGGTATGTGAGGAATATGGGTTCATTAATACAACACTTTTTGATGCGGTCTGGGCTTCTAAATTTTTTTCAATCCTGTTTGTTCAAAGTGTCATTTTAAAATATTTTGTTTCTCAAAGCCTTCTTTGTAGCAAAATATCTTTAGATCTAAGCTTGAGTTGCTTCGTAGTCATTTTTTTCCATTTGTTTCACGATGGTTCTTTTGCATTCACTATTGTTAAGTGATGTCACCTCCTCTTAAGCACTCGCCACAGCTCCCACAACACCCCCTCCTATGACTCCATTCTACATGGTAGTGTAGTCTGGTGGTTAACTTAAATGGGGTATGGAGTCAGACTCTCCAAATTGAAGTTCTGCTAATTTGGTATGTGATATTGCATATCCTAATGAAACTCTCAGCCTTAGTTTGTTTATCTATAAAATAAAAATAGTAAGAACTATTGTTTTGTAGGATTATTGTGAAGGCTAAAGCATGTAAACTATATCAAGCCCAGAATACTATAAGACTACTTGATATTCCTTATTACTATTTGATATTCAGGGTCCGGGGATACAGCTCAGTGGCACAGCACTTGCCTGGCAAGTGAAAGGTCCTGAGTTCAATTCTCAGTACAAAAAAACACAAAAAACCAAAAACAACCCCCCCAACCCAAAAAACCAATCAACAAACAAAAAAGAGTAGTCTCTAAAATTACCTTCTTTATCTACTTGTTACAGTCCTTCTCCTGCTGCTGGAATGTAAGCACTATGAAAGCACTTTTTATTGTTTTTTGGTGGCTTCCAGGATATGGAACAGGTTCCATAGTAGGAACTCAATAAAACTTTTTGAATGAATGAATGATCTATCAGTATAAGACATTCATTTGTTTAACTTAAAGTCAGGCAGTAAAAACAGCTTTACTGAGGTGCCTATATGGTAAATCAAACAAACACTACAAGATAATTCTCTTGTCTAGACTGAACTTCTTTTCTCTATTTGTTTTTACCTATACATGCACTTTATTTGCAGATGCAAAATTTGCAAAGCTTCGTAACCCTTAGTTTGTAGAATGAAAGACTAAAAATTAAATTATCTAATGACATTGAATTATGCTAACAATTGCTTTTTTAAACCATGTCTCACTTTTTACACCAGGGATATGCCCTTATAAGTCAGTAAAAGCCAAAAAAGATGAAGAAAGATGCTGAAACAGAAAAGTAAGAATTGAAAGGAAACCTCATGGCTCTTAAATTCTGGAATGTAAAGAATACATACTTCCAGCATTGAAAAACAATAGTCTTGACATCTGTAATCTGTTACAAAATTCCAAAGTTGCTAATGCTATGCAGTTAGTAACTAATAAATGCATAGTGTTCAGCAAGGTTAAAAAAAAAAAAAAAACCCACGGTCTTTAGGTCTTAGGCAAAAAGGTTTTTCTTTCCCCAACTGTGAATCTTTGCAACAAGACTCAGAAGGATGAAGCTCTGGCAGGCAGGGCTGCCCACTCACCTTCTTTTCAGAGCTTTATAACTGGAAAAGGTCAAGGTTATGCACCACATGCCTTTCAGCCTGTAGGACAGCTGTGCTAAAGGTCGTCCTTGGAAGGGTTTGCTTCCCCACCTCCTTTCTTCTTCCTTTTTTTTTTTTCCTGAAGAATTAATGTCAGAGAAGGTGCCCTCCTCTGCCTTGATACAGCTGCTAGTCTCCTGATGTCTTCCATAAAGGTTTTAAGGCTTGATGATCCCCCCTGACAATGCTACGGTCACCCTAAAGAACTGAGTTATCCGAGCTCCTACAGTCTGAAATTGGGAGAGCTTCTCGGGCCAACCTTGCTAGTTCATTCTGTTCCTGTTTGCCTTCCTATATGCAGTACATATTGTTTAAGAAATCAGTTGGTGCGCTGTAAAACTGATAAGATTCAGGTTGCCAAAGGCATTTCATAAATTTGATAGGTCTTAATTTATGTTGCTATAGTAACAATGTCGGTATTTCTTGAGATTAGAAAAATTTTATATCTTTCACCTTAAAACAATAGTAATGTAGCTTGATTCTGGACTTTAGTCTTTGCTCATGACTTTAGTTTTTGCACACTGAATATTTAATGTATACTAGGCATGACTGAATGTTCAGTAATTTTAATTTCAAAATTAAGGTTTCTAAAATCCAACATGATTTTCTTTTCTACATGTAAAGTGTAGATGGCCACCATGCTATTAGACTGGACAATCTTTCTCCAAAGAGAAAGGAGGGCATTTGAAAGTGGAAGTGAGAAAAACGGAGCTCTCCCAAGTAGCAGTTCTGTAATATTCACCTTCAGCACTGATGTAAATTTGGCTCACTTTCTCATTCAGAGTGAATTCCTAGCAGGGGCTAAAGCACCAGTGTATTATTAACCAGTGTTTTAAGAAAAGACATGACCTTGGGGCATGAGAGCGCCTGCAATGTCTAAAGTGATGAGGAGGTAGAAAGAAGCTTACCTTGGGACAGGAAGATGAGCAGGACCTTATGGGTCGCTCAAGGTCACTTGTGTTAATTATATGGACCCAAAGCAGCTGGAAAACTCAATGCAAATTACCTGGATTGGTTGAGACAGAAATGTCTCCCCTCCCAGAACCCACCTTACCTTATATCCTGATGATTTGATGTGCACACCTCGTTTGGTCAGGGTAGATTTCATTCGGATGAAAAAGGAACGCTCAAGAGTGTTGTCAGTGGTTAGCAGACTGGGGCTGGTTGACTCCACTGAGGAATACAAAAATATATGCACATGTGATTTCGGTCTCTACACAGCATCTCATAGCTACTGCTCAGGTGCAACCCTTGAGTTCACTAACGATAAATGATTGATGGGTGCTAAGAGTGTAGTAATCAATCTACCTCATTTAGAAAATGTTTTCTTTGCAGAAAATAAAAAAGAAAAATTAATATATCTGAAATAACTTCTTTCTAGGTGTTAAGAGTTTTTCAGGCCTCTTAAGCTGCAGCAGCAGCACCCTAAGTAGAGTCTAATAGTAAGTAAATAATTGAGACTCACTTGGAGGCTTGGCTAGTATGGCTGAGAAGACTGTTGGCAGAAAGGAGGTCCCCATTGATTCATGTCATAAACCAGGTTGCAGACAGAGACATGCTTCTGATGAAGGGAAAGGAACTGCTCTTTGTTCTCCCTACCAATTCCTTCTACCATGTCCCTACTGGGGAGTTCCACAAAATCCTAAAAGCTGGACAGCCCTGTCCTGAGTAATGTCCCCAGTATCCCGAATTGGTTTTTGTTCTCTGTGGGGAACAAGATGCATGAAGCCTTCTTAGCTGCCTCTAGATGTAGGAATGAGGACAGTATGCATAGATGGAAAGAAATGAAAAATACTTATATCAGCTTCCCTTCCTGTCCCAATGGCAGCTTGTCCCAGCCCTTCCCAAATAGGAAGCAGTGTTTGTCACTTTTCTCCTTGTGATATGAGAAATAAATTTCCTCTCTTAAAATAGTTCCTTTTATATGTTTTTAGATGAAGTAGGCATATTTTGACTTAGGAATAAAGTACTTTGCAATCTTGCTGACCTAAGAATATCTTTATGCAAGCAAGACAAAGGGTAACATGTCTATTTTCTTCAAGAACAAGCTTCTAAGGTATTTTATAAATTAGATCGTCTTGCAAATAAATTAATTTGTGGGCTTTAAGCCTAATAAATACTCTAGTCTTACTCTTACATATTAAAATCTTAATATTCAAAATTTTAAAAAAAGACCAAAAACAATTAGGACTTATTTTGGGCAGCTCTATACTGGCAGTAATTCTCTCTGGAGTGCAGATAAAGAAATACACATAGTAAAGAGATTTATAATTAAGTATATGTGAAAATAGCCATTAAAATAGACAAAAATGAGAAAACAAGTTTAAATTTTAAATTATGGAATGCAATTCATATATTTCTAAGAGCAACCTCTATTTCTCATATTAAACTTGATGTCTGGATAAACGATGAAAGCTACTTTGATAACAGAAGCTGTGGTATTTGTGGTCCAGGACTTTTCTTGTATCATTCTTATCTTAATGACTATATTTACAGTATTTTGATTCCATGCTGACTGACAAACGTTCTTTTCTTCTTTCTTTCTTTCTTTCTTTCTTTCTTTCTTTCTTTCTTTCTTTCTTTTTGTTATAGGGAGCATGGATCTGATGTCATTTTAAATGTACAGCTTTTTATCACTCGAGGGAAAAGCAGAGCCATGTTATATTTAGTACTTTCATTTCTTCTGATTAAATATGAATTACTATGAAATTTTTCTCATCATCTAACACGCCATAATACGCCAACAGCTTTTTAATACACTATATAAGCACAAACTTCTGCTCTAAGAGTTTAATTTGCCCCTCTAATCCAATCACATCAACCTTATTTCTCTTATCAGAGATTCCCATTTTGAATTAAATGAGCTCATTAGTTTTAATCAAAAGCAGAGAGATCAAAACTTAAACGTAAATGCTTTAGATCAGAACTGTCAGTCAGCCGTGCAGTTCTATTTTACTAAAACACAAGATCAGAGACCCTTAGAACCAATTTTTTCTCGTAAGGGATGCCGAGAGCTTGAAGATGCTATATCCTTTTTTTTCTCTCTTCCCAAGGACAGATTATACATTTAAGGTTAGACTTAATTTATAGCAGTTTTTTCATCCTGATGGAAATGGAAAAGTATGCCTATCTATTGTTGTCCCTTTCACATTTATTGGCACTGGTCCTCAGAGACTTGAACTAACGTGAAGCCATCAGAATCCACACCGCAAACCCAGCCTTAAAAATTCAGCTCTGTTCTGCGAGATGGTGTTTGCAATAGCTGAAGAAAAATGAAACTTCCCAGAGAAGTGAAATATGTTTTAGGGCTGGGGTCCTAGATACCCTGACCCAGTAAGGAAGGAAATGCTTAACTGTAGAAGGGAGGCAAATGCAGGTGTCATGCGAGATCATTTCTGTTTCCGTGTGGGAATTGCACAGTAAACCTCTGCATGCATAAAGGAGAGACCACAGCACAGATTCTTCCAGCTGGGTGAAGTCATAAGCTTTGCAGGAACTGTGGAGCCACACACAGCATCATGCTCTGGCGGTGGCAGGGGTACATCACCCTGCCACCGTGACAATAGGAATTGTCTAAACATGCAGGGTGGTGTTAATTACACCAGGGACAACTGGTGTGAGAGGAATTCTGAGGTCAGGTTTGGCTCCATTGAAACTTAGATTTAAAATCTAAACTGGTCTTCAAATTTTATGTCAGGAGGAAGGGGTATGATAAGTCTGGGAGAAGGAAACTGGGTAAGGTAGGAAGGGGCTTGACTTCTGATGATTTCTAATTAATTTGCTTTCTGATGACCCCCTATTTCTGAGGAAAGCAGCAGAAGTAATCTATGCTGTCTTTTTGAAGGATCATGTAACAAACTCATTCACAGTGCGTGGCATGTACCACAGCCAGGTTTCTCAGGGGTGACGACATATACTTGGTTTTTTGCAATTGTGATAATGGTGTCTTTCATGTGAAAAGGCATGCTATCTGCATGTGACAGACCAAAGAGAGAAGCAGCTTCATAAGAGATGTTTTCTGGTTGTCTCAGGTGAGAGGCCCACTGTGATGATGAATCTAGCTGGGTAGCCAAGGCAGCAGGGTAACGGGGGTTGACAAGGCTTCGGCACTGGAAAGAGGAGTGTGTGGAAGAAGAGAAGAGGAGGTGGGCCTGAGAACAGCCTCCGTGAGACCTGTGCTCTCTGGAGACAGTGGTACTATTTTATGTCAAAATAGCATTTTAGAATGCCTACTAGATATGAAAAGCTTTTCTGTCAACTTTTAGAGGGTAGCCAAGATTGCCACATGCTTTGATAATAAACACGGGATTCAGAGGAGTTCTAACTGCTGCCTGAGACCCAGGAGACATTGCAGAAAAGCTAGATTAAGTGGTCACAGCTCAGTCATGGCAGTTTCAACTTGAGAATTATAAACTAGAGGCTGAAAAAGAAAAACAAGTCTCTCAGCACTAAAAAAAACTAAATCAAAGAATAAGTAATATTCATTTTGTTGACTCTCAAGGGCTTTAACATTTCAATAAATCTAAATTAACTCAGTTTATTGAAATGTAAATTTTTTACATATTTTGTAAAATTTACAAAAAAATTTGAAGAAAAAGAAATCTTTTTTCAGCCATTCTTTCAACAGAGAATGAAAGTCTAGAATATGATATATAAAGAGCTCACAAAACCTAATATCTAGAAGATAAAAAATAATGCTGGCAAGGATGCAGGTAAAAGAAACCATTTGCCCTGCTGCTGGACTGTAAATTAGGAAAGCTATTACTAAAATCAGTATGGAAGTTTGTCAAAAACAAAACAAAAACCAAAAGTAGAATGACCATTCTAATCCAGCTACATAACTCATTGGTATACACCCAAAGAAATTAAAGGCAATAAACTATAAGTACACCTGCATACTCATGTTAATTGTGGCACCCCCATCATAGCCAAGTTAAGGAACCAGCCTAGGTACCTGCAGATGAATGGATAGAGAAAATATGGCATGTATACACAATGAAGTATTATTCATCCAAAAGAAAAAACAAAAGTTTTTCATTTGCAGGAAACTGGATTGGACTGGAGACCATTATGCTGAGCAAAGTAAGCCAGACTCAAAACAACAAATACTGCACTTTCTCCCAAGTGGACTGTAAAAAGATATGACATGAAAGTAACAGGGAGACAAGAGGAATGGAATGGGGGGTGGCATAAGGGGAGGTAGTAGGGTGAATATAATCAAAATATATGCATCGAAATCCAATATGTATAAAATTAATAAGTGCTTATAAAAAATTCCAAAAACATTAAAAGGCTGTACTCATTTAAATGCTACCATCATGTAAAATCCTATCTGTTACTCCTCCACTGTCCATGATTCTGTTGTGGTTTATGTTTGGATGCCCCTCAGCCAGGCCTCAAGCAGTCAAGGCAGGAGAATCTAGCATTTGCGGTTGGCTCATTGTCTGGTGCTGGGATTGGTTGTGTGAGTGCTGCACCTGCCTAGGGATGGGGAGCGGGCATACAATATAAGGGGTGAAGGAGACTTGTGTTTTCTCCTTTGTTGCCCTGTTGGCTCTTGTCTCTTGCAGCTGCCATGAATGGTTGCCCTTTAGCCATGCCTTTTTGCCTTGGAGCCAGCTGAAACCTCCAAAAACTGTAAGCTGAATAAACCTTCCCTTCCTTCATTTTGGGTGTCAAGTATTTTGTCTCAGCAACCAGTAAAAAGTAACCAATACAGATTCCATTACTGGTGATGTGGCTGCTGTTGCCCTCATCACTGGGCAGGATGTGTAGGAGGTAAAGGGAGGAGGCGGTGACTGCGTACCATCTAGTTCTTCCTGAGCTGAAACTAGTACCATGTCCATTCTGAACACCTCGGTATTCTCTTCAGGGTCCCTGCAAGAGCACAAGGCAAGGCATAGAGTGGCCTTTCCTTTTAGCACACTTCAAATGGTTTCAGTGAATTGTAGCATGATAAACCTTCAACTGTCATCAAGTCCTGAATGTGTGCGGGAGAAAAAAAAAAAGAAAACTTAAATTTTAAGCATTGTTCTCCTTAACAGTAAGATGTTTTTAATTTTAAAAGAAAAGTAGAGTATGGATAAATCCTTAAGATATAAAGTTAAATACATCCCTTGATATCTGTGGGGTATTGATTTTAGAACACCCAAGACCCCAAACTCATGCTCCAG